TGCTGCCCGCAAATAAACGGAGACGAAAGTAACACCACCAACATCAGCATTGCTCTGAGGAAGGCTTCAGACTTAGTCTACACTTGTCAACAAAAATGGTAATACACATGTTTGTGTTTACGGGTAATTCAGGAAAACAAACCAAAAAAATAAAAAATAAATAAAAAAGAATATGTTGGCAAAACAGAATTTGATATTTTAATAATATAAATGAATGTGTTGATTGCATTGGTTTTGTGATTTTTCTGAGCCAACATCGAAATACAAATTTGGTTAATGGCACAACCCTTTTAGCAGATTACACAACCAGCTAGCTTCGTATTCTTTTGTCTCAGATTACACATTACACGATAAGAAGCACTGAGATTAGCATGTTTTTAGCTTTTTTTAAGCACAAAATAATAAAAAAGGAATTTACTTGCATTCACTTCAGATTTGCTGCTGTTTTGCTGTTCACGCACACAATGAAATCAAACCAATCCTTTTCCTTAATTAGAAGTACTCGTTTACATAATTCCTGTAGTTTGATGCCCGTTTCAGCACGGATGTCAGGCCAACAAGCTGCAAACAGCAGAGAAGGACTCCATTGTTATTTCTAACTGGTAGAAGCCCTCAGGTTATTTTTCCTCTGCCTTGAAACAAATCAATGAAGCACAGCTCACTTTGAACAATTGCACATTTGCTGAAATCAGATGTGGGTTGAGGAGCCAGCCGTCATCACGCTTATTCTGTTTGTTGACAGAAGGAGGACTTTGATAAACAAGACGGCTCTTTGAAACAGGTGCCTGGGCATGAGATCAGTTTTGAGAGGCGAAGTGCACTGATTAGAGGATGTTTGTTATTCTGCCTGCAAGCATGTAGACCGTGTGTAAAACTGGACCGATTTTCAGCATAAACACGGATATTATTTATATTTTAGGGAAGATCATTTCAGATTGTTATCTGTAAATATCCCAAACTGTCAAATCATCAGTTCTTGAGGTGTTAAAACAACCTATTTGTTTATTTAACAGTGTTTGCATGGCTGTTTGTTTAAACCAACATCGCCCCCTAGCGGTTTTCTAATACGTTGCATGACATTTTACTTTTAGCGTGAGTTCAAATTATAACTGAACATTACAAATATCATAAAACTTGGTTCTTGCTAGTACACAAAAGCCTTTAATTACATCAGTCTTGATAAACGTTGCTTGTTTAACCGAGATGCTGAAAGCACGAAGCGTGATCGTAATGTGTTTTCACTGGCAACGGCAAACACAACAAGCCCAGTTCACTCAGCTTATCCTTCCCATCAACATGTGGAAGTGTTTTTAAATCCCTATCTGCTAGCAGCAAACGCTCCTAAATCAGTCATTTTAATATCAAAGCACTTAACACTAGAATGGTGATTGCTTGCAGGTGGAAATCCATGCTTGGTTGTCAAGACTGCACTTGGAGAAAATGACTGAGCTCTTGTCCGACACGTACAGTACAGCCAGTGTTCAATACACAAGATCACGTTACACAAGATTACTTTGGAGTTTCAGCAATTTTCCCAAATTACACTGGCCTTTGGTCTCTGGTAAACGTGATTGACTTGAATGGTTTTCATTAGGAAGCGTAGCAGAGTGTTTGCTGTACACAAAAGCATAGAGGCATGTGAGGGTGAGAGGGTGCAGCTGGGACAGTCGGAGTGGACAGATATGCAAATCCTTTTCCTGGAAGTGCTTCATCGTGTGTTGAGGGAACACAGGCTTTGCTTTGATTCATGATGCTCATCAGTATTCCACATGCCTGACATTTTCCCACAACATTTGGGGTCATTTTTGTTAGATGTCTATAAAAAGGACCTCATTATAGTGCATAGGAACATTACTGAATCTATCCAAGCAGGCAACATTAGCTCTGAGTATCTGGAAATGTGGCGGACATGTTAGGGATATGCACCGGTGTCATGTTTGAACTAGAGTCCACCTTTAACCTCGTCTATCCCAATTCACACAAACAAAAACTGAGAAATGGAAATCAGTTAGATGTCACAAAAAGCCTGAACATGGAGTGACAAGAAAATAGCCACGAATAACACCGAACACCCTTAATAGGAAAATATTTAAGAGAGGGATCTAGAATGAAGAGCCACGTCTATGCGATCTGTTTATCAAAGCCAGAGATATTCCCGCAGTTTCCCTGCAGCTATTTGGCTGCCTTAAACATGAAATCTAAGAAGTCTCTCTGTAAGGAGTTAAGGATATCTTATGCTTCTACACATTTGGAAAAAATGCTGCTAAACTGAATGCATGAAGAACACGTTAATTCCCCAAACGTGCAGCATCAAGCTTGATTCTGTCATTTTTATACATTTGATCTCAGTAATGCTGGAAAGAATTAACATGGATTTCTGAACAGTTTACAAAGTGAGATATGCAGGTTTTTGATGCCATCTTGAGGAAATGTAATGACACAGCAACAACTCAACACACTCCAGCAAAAAAAAAAAAAGAAGAAAAGGGCTTACATTTCCAGACTATCAAATATCGCTGCTATCATTAATAAAAGTCAAACAACGACGTGCACAGACGCTGCAGCTTAACACCAAAAAGTTATTTCTTCTTTAATGATTATCTTCTGTTTGCATCTAACCTGCTTTGTCATGATGTAGGAGGCTAAATGCAACCAGACATGTTATGACCACCACTCAGCTGAGTGTGTAGTGTGTGTGTGTGGGGGGGGGTCTACACTCATCATTCACTTAGAACACCTTGTCATGTACGAAACCATTTTTACAGATAAATCCCACCCCTAATGTAGTAAATTTGTGAGATGCTACCCAACACCACAATGGTTCTGCTGCTATAGGTAACTAAGAAATAAAAAGGACTCAGATATATATATATATATATATATATATATATATATATATATATATATATATATATATATATATATTTATATATATATATATATATATATTTTTTTTTTTTTTTTTTTTTTTTTTGCATATAGTCAGTGTTGTGGCAGTAGTTCAGTTAGATGGTCAAGATGTAATGACAACACATTCTCACACACAAAACATCCCATCTGGTGGCATCCAGTGTAATTCTAAAATATCCAAGGTAGGATTTTAAGTTTAGGGTCATCAGTGGCTTTAAAGTGATGGTGTGTATTTTCCCTGGTGACCGGGGCAGAGCATACCTAAATCATTGCAAGCAAACAGTATTGTTGTGTGCATGTAAGACCTTACCAACGGATGCCCATTAGGGTCAAACATCCCTGGGACTGCAACCTCCAGCAAAATGACAAGCACATTAGGTTTCCTTCCATCACTGGCAACAAGTGAAGAGGTAAATGTGTAAAACAACATTTAAGAATGGCAAAAGTTTAGTAACCGCGCAAATCAGTGCAAAACTACAAATTACAAATCATTTTGCATTGTCCTCACGAACTCCCGTAGAAGTAGGGTGGGAGTGAATAGGTTGTCCCGATAGAGCAGGGGTGGGGAACCCTGGTCCATCGAGGGCCGCTGTCCAGCATATTTTAGTTTCAACCCTGCATCAACACACCTGATTTCAATCAGCAGGTGATTAACAGGCTTCTGCAGAGCCTGATGAGCTGCTGAACAGGTGAATCAACCACTGAATCAGAAGTGTTGGAGCAAAGACATGCAGGATACCGGCCCTCGAGGACCAGGGTTCCCCACGCCTGCGACAGAGAGCCTAAGTCATGCCCATCTACATTCGGACCATGGGTCCCCGGAAGAACGAAAAAATGAATGCAAGTCAATGGGGCTAAAAACGCTATTTTCTAATTCTGCTTGTTTTGTGCCATGGATATCACACATGATGTCCGTGAATTTTAAAGACACATTTTGATACCAAGAACGCGCTTATTTAAAAACGGGTGAATGATATTTTAGGTTTTGTGTGAAAGTGATGTCACTGAACCAGACACGGAGAAAACTGAGGAAAAAGGGCTGTAGGTTCATTAAACTGCAAATCCTTCCCAAAGGAGGAAAGAACCACCATTAATCTGGCCATTTGGTAAGTAGTAGCAACATTAGGGGAGAGATTATGTGGTGACGTCTCAAAATGCAACATGCCGATGTCTAATTTGTGGTCATGCTAATTACAAACTTTTACAAGCGAATAAATCTCAAAGGACGTGGTGGTCAAAACACACCTGTCACGTCTGTACTTTTCATTTAAATTGCAGTACAACATATGGGTGCAGGGCGCATTCATTTTTTCGTTCTTCCCATGAGCCGACCGGAAAGGGAGGCGTCTTAGGCTCCCCATTCTCAAGTGCGGAAGTTGGCCACACCCCTTTTGCACCTTGATCTGCACTTCACTGAAATTTGCATCGATGCAAACTTTGGCAAAGGGTAAGTCCCATAATCCATTGCTGTGTGAGAATTTTGAGAAGGCGGAGAAAACGCTCAAATGCTTTTTCTGAAAATATGTATTTTTGAATGAAAGTAGTTCATTTTAGGACGATTAATGATGTTTATTGATGCTCCAACTATTTTACACTAGGATTTAATGTGGACAGATATTAATGTACATTTTGTTAATAAAGATTTTTTAAATGCTCCCTGTCCCAGTTCAGCAATTTATTAGCACACTTGAGCACCACACACTCGAAGCCTTTTGCGCACCTTCTGCAAGTGCACTTCACAGAAGACTGTAGGACAGTTTGAGTATTGGGACTGGGCCTTAGACCCACTCCCATGTATTTTAGACCAGATGTTTATGGTTATATGTTATGAAGCCGTCAACATTTGTCAACAACTGTGCATCATTTAATTCATTTTCAGCAACATTTTAATGGATATTTCCAGAGATTACCAGTAAAAACTACACATTGTCTCTTTAAAAATGCATTAAATAGAGTAAAAGTATGACTGAGCACTATCTCCTAAAATATGTGCAGTGCTTCATTTTTAAGATTTCATTATTGAATAAAGTAAATCAATCAAATAAAATCAGTTTAGTAATCTTTATAACCTTCTGAAGATTACGTCAAGATAAAAAAATGAAGAGGTCTTTATTCTGTTCTGGTTGGGGAAGACATTTGGTCAGCAGTACTAGAACATGAGGTTTTTGACAATTCTGCAAGGTGAGTCCAAGAATACCAAGGAGAGACTTGTAGACATCCAATGAGTAAACTACAGAAAGCTGTGAGGTACGCGATGACCAGAACTAGATAAAACACAGTGCAGCCCAGTTTCTTCAGCATTTATCAGGTGCAGACAAAAACAGCAAATCAGCATAATCTAAAGGTTGCAGAGATTGTGTTCCCTTCCCTTCTGAGAAAAACAGAATTTTGTCATTGAAAACCGATTCAGTTTCAGCTTTGTGATAAGGTTTTCCATGTGCAATTAAAATGAGAGGATTTGATCGATAATACTCAAGTATTTAGGATGCAAACATCTTAACAGGAACCACGTGTGCATTTGAAATTTCTGGAAGCGGGATTTTTCTTATCTTTTGAACATTAAACGCATTTGGCTAGCAGCCCATTGCTGCATAAACGCTTGTGGATATTTTCAGGGTTAGGGTTGAGTTTTTATTTTTTCCCACATTCCTCTTGAGGACTGACCACAGGTTCCTTTTTGTTCTGACAGTGCTCCATCACGCTTACAAAGACGATGTTCATTCAATTTTTCTTGGATGGTTGGAGTTCCTCTGGGAGGATGTTTAGGTACCAATGTTTATTTGTGTCTGTTCTGAGGCTAAATTACGAGTGAGTCATTTCCATTGGCTCAGAAGCGACCATACACATAAATACTTTAGTGTATAAAATAGTACCTTCTCTTCTTTTCTGGTACCTCTAACCATAAGAGGGGTTAATGGACTTTAAGTATTCAGAAGCACATTGGTCAGAAACTATTGATTGCAATGAATTATTGAAGGTAGCTAATGGGATGTAGGTAGTCCGCTTTAGTGTTTTTTGCAGCTCATTCCAGTCGTTGGAAGCAGCAAACTGGAATGAGGAGCGGCCTGAGGAGGTGTGAGCTTTGGGAGTAACCATAGAGATGAAGTTACTGGAACGTAAATTGCGCTGCTTGTTGGAAGTGATGAGTAATGAGCGAAAATATGACGTGTTCTACCGACGATTGTTTTGTATATGAACCGATACCAATGTAACAACCTGCGGGAATGGTGAGTAGTGAAAGGGGCACCAGTGACCAAACGGATTGCTGAGTGATAAATGGCATCGAGTTTATGAAGAAGTTTTTCAGAAGCAGTCCTATAAATAATGTCACCGTTATCTAAGATGGGAAGGATTGTTATTTTGACCAAGAGTTGCTTTGCAGAATGAGTAAAGGATGACCACCTGTGGTGGTCTAAAACCCAATTCTTGACTTGACTTTATATGAATTAATGTGAATGTCAAATGAAAGTGTGCTGTCAAGCCAGTCAGATGCACAAAAATGGTTGAGCTTCTTTGCTCAAGTCTTAAAATAGCTTTAACAATAACCCCGTCATTGCCCAGAGTCTAATAAACTGCATCGCTCTTCGTTCTTACATGAGTCAACAAGAGATGCAAAAATCAGGAGTTATGGATGATGGTTCTTATAAATAAGATGTATTTATAACAATGGTTGCAGGATCTTTGCACTTACTGGTGGTGTGGAAAATTGTGGAATTGTTTTAGAAAAAAAAAAGATGGTGATGCAACTAAAACAGCAAATCTCCTTATAACTGATGATTAAGTTACTGAAGATGTAAACTTTTCATAGTTGCCATTATTAAATGGAGAAACAGTCTTCCCTCAGTCTCTAGAGGACTAAAAAAACATCTCACCATGTTCCGAAACAAGAATGTTCATGATAAACGAGCCTGAACTTTGTGCCTAAATGTGCACTTTTTTGACAGAAACATTAAAAGATGAAAACACTAAAGAAATCTTAGTGCTTCATACTGAACGTTTACCTGCAACACACAGTGTACATTATAATGCACATTACAGGACAGCCATGGTTATTCATGCTTTTATACAGAGCATTGCACCCAGGAGGCCGTTTGTGTGTTTGACATGCGCCGTGATGAAACCGTAGTTCTTCAAAAGCTGACTGTACTCTGTTGCGCTTCGCTGTTTCCCCTCGCTCATGCTGAGAGCCTGCAGCAGCCCGAGACTCGGACCGCTTCGGTTTTCCTCCAGAAAGATCTCTCCCAGCAGGAGGCCGCAGCCTGGCAGCACAAAGTATATGCAAACAGAAAACTTTAATTAGAAGTGGTGTTTGTACCCGACCATCTCCTTACATTGCCCTACTTCACGCAAAGAACAAAGTATTGTATAAGAAATTAAACATTTCAGCTTAGTCGTAAACTTTTCACTGCTTTATATTCTGCCAAGCGTTTAAAGCTTTTATACAAGTTGAAAGGTGCAGCAGGAGATGTTTTTCTTTCTGTTCAAGCAAGCTACTTTTTGGAAATGCACAATGCTTTTTCCCCCTCCTAAAGACTCAGGTTTACGTTTTTGACCCGTTTTTGATACCTTTTCTGTCATAATCCTTAATGTTGCGCATCTATATAACCTTATTTTTGTTATTATTAAAACACTGGCTAATATATTGTTGTGTTTATTGGCCGTAAGTGCAAAATCACAGCAGCTCAGTGGCACCAACAATCTGGGAAACCCCACGAAGAACAAGTCAAGACTTCCAGAATCTGCCCCAAACTTCCACCCACTCGTTCCACCTTCTCTGCTCAAAATGCCCAAGAAAACATTTCCCACAGCGCACTCATGATCATTCACAGCTGCAGTTGTGCAGGTTTAAAGGAGCTCCATGCTGTCAAGTTTTACTAGAATCAAACAGAATGACACATTTTTCCAATAAAAACATTTTCAGTTATGTGTAATTATAAGTCTAGATGCTATTTTAATTATCTCTGAAGTTACTGCACAGATAAAACATGTAGTTAGAGAAAAGGTTACCAGATATTTACCTGGAGTGCATGCATCTGCAACTTTACTCAGGAGAACATGCAGCTTCTCATCAGTCAAATCATGAAGGACTCTGACCAGGATGTACAGGTCTGCTTTGGGTAATTCATCTTTAAAAAAGTCTCCTGTTCACAAAGCAAACATCATGTATTCTAGTGACAGACGGACTGAATCCTTAATAACCAGAAGAGAGTAACGGACCAGCTTGGAACGACACCCTGTTGTCTGCATGCTGCGGGTGAAAATGTTCACTCAGCTCTACAACAGCAGGTAAGTCAAACACAGAAACCGAGAGTTCAGGGTGAGCTTTAACAAGCTCATTGGCCACTGCACCGGTGCATCCTGGGAAAAAAGGTGAAAATATTCAGAGTAATGCTTTCTGATAAAACAAAACAGTTGTTTCTTTTAAATCCTACCTCCGAGGTCACAGGCAGTTTTATAACTGGACAGGTCAAAGGCCACAGCTACGGCTGTCGCTCCGATCCTAGCAGTGCAGTGCATGGCGCTCATGAATCTCAGTCGGACTTCTTGGCTGTTGTACGCAGCACTCTTCAAACAGGCAAAAAGTCCAAATCAGCCTGATGACTTCAAAGACCTCTGGAGTGTATTCTTCTGTTTCTGAAATCTAGGATGATCACCTGGGATTCCTGGAGCTTCTCCCGCTGACTAGATCCCTCCAGGACAGCACTCTCAAGGAGGGAGAAGAGGGGCCACACTACATCGTTACAGTACTGAATGTACCCATGAAGGGAGAAATGAGCATCCGAGCACAAGAAACGTGTAGCTAGATCTGTGTTCCGGTACACAGGCCTGGAGCCTGTTGGTGATGAAGACAACAGAACACATGAAACGTTCAGATGAAACATGAAACGTTTAAGCAAAGAAAAATAAAACATAATTATAACTAACTTTTTTCTTTGGTCTTCAACAATCCTAGGGAGACACATGCTTCTAGGAGGCACCGAGTCCCCCTCACAGAGGCTTTTATCTCCTGGGCGACTTGTTCTACATCCAGCTCGGCGTTGGTGTGCAGCAGGTCAAACACACGCAGCTTGGATGCTGTAAACAAGGCCTGAGAGAGAAAAAGAGATCTGGTGACTACAAAGCTGGCTGCATGGTGGCGCAGTGGTTAGTGCTGTTGCCTCGCAACACGAAGGCCGCAGGTTCGAAACTCGGCTGCGGCCTTTCTGCGTGGAGTTGTGTGTTCTCCCCATGCATTCGTGGGTTTTCTCCGGGTACTCCGGTTTCCCCCACAGATCACAACACGCCCTATAGGTTAAAAAAAATTGTAAGTCGCTTTGGGTAAAAGCGTCTGCTAAGCACATAAACATAAAAGCACAATTCTAACCATATACTGTCATTTTTATTTATAATTTCTATTTAACACAACCAGCCTAACCTGTACATTCCTACGACCAGGACACTGTAGCCCACAATTTAGAGTTTTGATTAAAAGCATTGCTCTGCAAGCCTGGTAAGAGTCCAAACTCTTTAAAGTGTTGTTAAACTGCTGTTTTTAAGCGACTGTGTGTGCGTGTTTCTCTGTAGGAAAGAATCTATTGTTCTGATTCCTAACGAGCAGCATCTGTATTAAAACATATCAGTCTACCTCTAATAACCAGCCAACTCATCAGAGGGAGTTGTACACCAAAACCAATGCAAAAATAATGCTCAACACTGATTTGAGAACTAAGTGGACAGAAGGCATGCAGCAGCAGACTGTTCTTTGTTAATTTAAGAACTTCCTGCTTGGTTTTAAACCTTTAGTGTCTCGTTTTATCCCGTCAATGCAAACAGTAGGGATGGCAAATTAGACTGATGAATTAGCCCAATGAAATGTGGGTAAATTGAAATTTCTAAAAGCAAAAATAAAGAAATATAATTCTAGCATCACACGGGCACTAGAACACCTTCTAACCTAGAAAACCCGTGGAACTAGTGGTTGATGGTTTCTGCCGTCATTTAAAAGAAACTAAGAACAAGCAGTCAAGATAAAGAAAACCTAAAAGAAACCGCAGCTAACAGGGCTGTACAACATATCTAACAGACCGCTAATACACCAAAGTACTGTAATCTGTTCTTGTTTGCAGAAGACATTAATAAAAACATCTAAACTGTTGAGGGTGAGTTAAAATTCAAACCAATGGAAAATCTTTTAATGCATCTAATAAACTGAGTTTGCAGGTTTTAGTTTCCGTTTACTTGCTACATTTTCTTTAAAAATAAACCATGTGCTGTCGTTTCAGAGCTACAAAATGTTCCTTCTGACATGTTTTCTACATGTCTTTGTCTCACTTTCCTCTTCGACATTAGTTTTGTGGTCACCTCAAGGAGGTCATAAAAACCAGCTAGAAGAAGAAACTTTGCACCTGAACAAATCAAAGTGCAGCGTTTTAGTCATTCTCACATCTGTACAACCACAGCCCTCTGGGTTTTTAACTGGGCAGAAGGTGCACAAATAAATGCTGCAGTGTGTAGCACAATCGCCTCACAGCAAGAAGGTTGAAGGTTCAACACCAAGTTGTGGTCTTCCTTCAAACCCCCCCCCCCCCCCCCCCTCCCTCCACCCCCACCCGGCATGTGTGGGTTAATTTTTGAGTTTCCATTCAAAGACCAAAAACATGCATGAGAAGTTAATTTGCTACTTTGTTCTGAGTAAGTGTAATAATAGTTGTTCATCTCCGGGTGTCCCTGTTACGGACTAGCGACCTGTCCAGAGTGTCTCCCACCACTCGCACAGAGGCACCGGCTCCCCATGATCCTTACTGGAAGAACTGGTTACAGGAGATGAAAAGATGAATAAAGGTTCATGGTAAAAGGTCGTCACAGACAAAAATCACCTTGGATGCTTTGAATCCATCCAGAAGTTTAGAAATCTGCTCCAAATCTTCTTTTTTAGGTTCTGTGTGCTCATGTTCCGTAACGTTTAGCTCCGTCCTTCGTTCTCCACTTCTTATTAATGGTGATGAAGAACTTTCAGAGTTTAGAAGCTCAGCCTCATCGAGTTCTGTCAAGCCGTTAACAGGTGTCCAGGAACTTTCTCTGTCGCCATCTTTCCTTTTAACCTGGAGGGGAGGACGGATTGGGATTAAACAGGAACAAAAGGTGACAGATTAGGCTCAAACTGTGAGATTAACAAACTTTATGAGCTGGACTGGCATTGTGGCGAGTGGGTGTGTCTCCACAGGAGCGAGGTGACTGCTGGGTGAGTTCTGATGAAAATTGAGAGTCCTTGTGGATCAGGGGGACAGACTCGTTTGTTTTGTTGGAAATCGAGGGACAGTGGTTGTAAATGATGTCCAGCTGTCTGCAAAAGTGGTTGAGGGGGAAGCCCACAACATTTAAGAAATCTCCATGGACGTACTCTACCAGCATCCCACCAAGAGCCTGAATGCCATAGCTGCCAGCCTTGTCCCTAAAAAACACACACACACACACACACACACACACACACACACACACACACACACACACACACACACACACACACACACACACACACACACACACACACACACACACACACACACACACACACACACACACACACACACACACACACACACACACACACACACACACACACACACAAATCAGCCATAAAACACTAAGTGTTAGGCATGTAGATTTCCAGATGACCCAGATCTAAATTTATCTCAAACAAAAAAGACAAACACAGTCTGGATAAATTTCAGGTATCAAAGAGCAACAGGTTCATTTGACTCATCATTAAATACTTTTCAATGATCGTCTGGTCAAAGTTGCCACGCAGAGAACGATCAATAGCTCTTACACGGTGAGTCTCAGAGTTCACATTTTTTCTTACGCACATGGGTTCACCACTATTGATGTACTCCCACAGCATATCTTCAGAGAGATCAGCAAACTTCACCTTTGTTTCTTCATAGAAGTCTATCAGCTGGTAGTCTACCTCATCTGGCGAGAAAAGGGAGTTGGATTGGAAATGAGATTTGTTCTCTACACTTGGAAAATTACGCCCCGCTGTGTGTACTAGAGATCTACCAAAAAAAATGAACTAATGACAATAAAATCATCCCTAGATGCTGACTTAAATAAGCCTCTAATTAATATATATATATATATATATATATATAAATGGGTGTTTTTTCTTCAATCTGCTAATTATTGATTTTGGAGGGAAATTTGAAATGACCAAAACCAGTATCAGCAGGTCAGATCTGTACAACATCTGGAGGTGACATTGGTCTTGAAAACCAGAATCCATCCCTAACTGAATCATAAAATACTGTAACATTTCTCAATGAAAATATTTTTTGCAGGACAACCATCAACCACCCTTATCCGAGACCACTTCGCTTTTGTTTTTTTACCAAAAGTGAACAAAGTCAAACCCTTTTAAAGTTTTGTGACTTACTTTCTTTCTCATGGCAGAGGACGATAGCAACACCAGTGAAAACGCTATGCTCTTTCCCACTCAGGCTGAAGCAGAAAAATAAAAGTAGTAAATTAAAACAGTGAAAACTATTGTGAAAGTTCTTTTTATTGATGAAACGACAAATGATGCTGACCTTGACAGCATCCTGTATGCATCATGTTTGTCCACTGGCTTCTCCAGAATTATGCCATCCACAGTCTGTGCAAATTAGACCCAAAAACAAGCTATCAGCTACACATAAAAACATTAAATTAGAATCAGCAAACAAAGCTTTAACTCTCTCCACAACTTACCACAATCGTGTCTGCTCCAATGACTACGTCTGGAGTCTTCAGGTGTTTCTGAAGCAAATCAGAACAGAACAAGTCAATAATGTCATCCACTTGGCTGATTTAATTTATAATATGTAAAAACAAAAAAAAAAGGTCACACTCACTAAAGGCATCCTCCTGGCCACCTCCAGAGCCTTCTGCTTGGCCGTCTCAACAGCATACTCATGAGGTGCTTTGAAAAGTCTCTTATCGAGGGTTTCTTTAAACCAAGATGGCACTACCTCAAAACGCAAACCCTGAAATGTAAAAGGTCACAAATGAAAGATGTTCTCTTTTTGTTCAGAATGACATGATCACATGTATAATAACCAGAGAGTAATTTTGTTTTTCAATTAATTTGAAATGACTCAATTTAAGTTTCTATGCAAATGTTTTTCACCCAACATTGCATACATCTATGAGATACTTTAGGAAAGCACATACCGCGTTACGGAGAATCTCTAGTCTTCTAGGAGAGGCACTGGCCAGCACCACCAGTTTACCAGCAAGTTTGGAAATGACTGGGTTCAGCACCATGGTGGCCTTCGTGTTTGACTGACTAAAGGTGAACATAGTTAAACATTACAGATGTGCTCTCATTTCTGCCGAAACCTAAGCAGAAAAACTGGGAATCAAGTGGGTTCACCTGCACATTAAGGAGCATGTAAAGACCTAAAACTGGTCCTTTAATAAACTTCAGTCGGTCATCTCTTGTTGATTTAAACTTAAATGGTTGTAAATTTAAACTCAACGTTTTTTTAATTTATTAACTGATTTCCTACCACAGTGACCATTAACTGCGTTCTTGTATCCTGTTCTCTGTGCAAGTAAACAAAACAATTAAATATTATGAGTAATAAATAAGAGTCTCCAAATAATATAAACATTTTAAAAAATCAGAGTCTCTAAAAGCAGACAAAAATGTTCTAGTGACGATACGGTGGCCTATAAGAGACACGTGTCATTTGCAACAAACATAAGCATTCCTATAATGTAAATTCATGCTAGCATACGTTCACAAGCTAACGTGACAGAAAGAAGTTGCTAGAACCGCACAATGTAGACAAGTCTGGTCAACGAACTCCCCTCAAAACAGAACTTTGTTTTGTGAGCAAAAATTAGATACATAACATTTGACAACTTAATGCTGGAGTGAATGACTGTGTAGCTCTTACCTGCGCCACTCAGGACTCAGGAAACACTGGAAAGCCAATACAAGACGAGTCGACTCACGTAAATACGTGATGACGTTTAAAAAAGAATGGGCGGATCAACCAACTCGGAGAAGTAAATTGAAATCTCGCGCGAAGAGACAAGGCCACTTCTACGACTACAAAAAATAAAACACAAAACAAATAGCGATAAAAAGAATTAATAAATTTGTTTTTGCCGGAGCAAAACAGAAAATAACAATATTCAACAAGATTTTATTATAGCAACTTCAACAAACATTAATGACAGTTTGATGAACAAAGACATTTTTAAACATTCATAATAAAATAATAAAACATTAGCTTAATCTGGCTATACAAGGCTACACAGTTTATTTACATTAATTCACTGCTGGTATTGCTCCATATTTTGGGTGAAAATGAGGTTAAATCAAATTAAATTCACATTAGAAAAAAACTTTTTCTCTTAAATGTAAAAAGCAAATGTGCAGCACTGATCCTTCTGCTCAGAGCACCTTCCTTTGTTCTATGACTCAACTCTTTAGGTGATTTTGAAATACCAATATTTTGTAAGAGCTCAACCAGCTTTCAGGCTCTCTCACACGCTTCCTTTCTTGAATCCACCTTTGTTGAATTGTTATGCTAATGACTGCAGTGTTAAAGAACAATTAACTCATTGTCCAGAGTACAACGTCTCCATCTTCATGGAGTCTGCACTAGTCACGCTCGGCAGATTCACCATCTCTCTCAACTTCATTCTGAAATCTTTAGAAGCAAAGTAGTAAATAAAAGGGTCCAAACAGCTGTTAAGACAGCTTAAACAAAGAGAGAGTTTGTATGCCATGTACACAGATTTATCAAAGAAGAGTCTTAGCACACTGTGAACCAGCAAGAGAATGTTGTTTGGAGCAAAGCATAGCACAAAGACCAAGAGGACAACAAAAGCCAGACGAATCGCCCTCTTTTTCTGGGCTGTCTTAGAATCACGGGCCAGCTTGCGTATGACACTGACATAACAGAATGTTGTGACACAGAAGGGGAACAGGAACAGGGCAAACACCAAACTGAAAAGGAAAGCAGACCATGATGCCACAGATGGCAGCATGGCTTTTTTCAGAACGTCAAAGCAAGTGGTGATCCTGAGTTCAGGGATTTCAAACGTCAGGTCTGTGGTCATGAGAGGGTGCAGGATGCTCAGCACCAAACTCCACATCAGAAAGCAGCTGAAGATTGCAACAGCCTTCCGCTTGTTCTTTCTGAATGACATAGGCTTGACAATGCCCATGTAGCGATCAATACCAATGGCCATCATGGTCAGGATGGAGCAGTACATATTGGTGTAGAAAACAAGGGTCAGGAAGCTGTGAGCAAGAGACAAGATATAATTTAATTTCATGTGTTTGAGACACAGAATTAATCAAACTCAGTAGGGTTGATGTGAGCTTATTTTGGCTACCTGCACATCCTGGACCCCAGAGTCCAGTTGTATCCATGGAGCTGGTAGGAGATCTGAAAGGGCAGGGCAGTGCCAAGAGCCAGGTCAGTGAGCGTGAGGTTTATCATGAAGATAATGGAAGGAGTCTTTGGTGTTGTACGAAAGAGGAGAAGCCACATCGACAAGCCGTTTCCCACCAGGTTAATGCCTGTTACAATCATGTAGATGATAGAAATGGCAATGCTGGTGTTCACATTCTGAAACAATGACAGTGTGGCATTGTCGAGATGGGTCCTGCTGGAATTCCCCGTCATGACTGGGTGGTCTGTCACCTCCTGCAAGACGGAGTTTGAAAAAAAAAAGATTAATTAACTTGTTCAAGACTGGAACCAAAATATAGATGTGCACTCTCTTTGTTTACTTTTTAAAGCATGTTGCTTTATGTTTTGCAATAACTGAGATAAGCAGCAAAAAACATCAGAAACTGCAAGAGAAAAAAAAAGGTTGATGCACACGGTTGTCTATTTTCTACCGCATGCAGACTATACATATTTTTCAAAAGGTGTGAAAATCTGATTTCTGATTACTTTATTCACCTGCATTGTTTCCATGCAAGAAAAAATGCTTGTTTCGGGTGGAGTTTTCACACAGGAAAAGGACATGTTTGATTTGTGGTGAGGCATGACAGCTCTGTGTACTAATCATATTCTTACAATGTTTAAAAAGGTTGGAAAGAGGGCATCAAATCTGCAAACGCTGACCATCAATAATCCTTAAATTTAGTAAAAATCAGATTATTTAAATGCAATTGCCTTTAAATGGTTTAAGCACAACATGGCACGTTAAGTAAGAGTAAAAATCACTTTCTCACAAATGTGGTGATGGGCTTGGTTTGGGCAACCTCCATAAACCAAATCCATAAATCAAACTAGCAGAAACACATCCTTGAGTCATCTTGACTTTAAGGTATTCCTCAGCAATGGAAAGTACCATTGCAACAGTGAGTGTGTTGCCACACTGCCAACTATTTATTTATTTTTATTTTCTAATTGATGTTCTGCTTATTTTCTAATTTTTTTTACTTTCATGGCAGAAAATATATTTATTTTTAATGTTGTATCCATATTTTCAGAATATTATAAACTAGTTTGGTTGTTAGAATCACATTGTGACATGACCAAACTGCTTTTATTGAAGAAGTTTTCTAAATATACACTCATAAAATTAACCAAATATATGTAAAAAAAAAATGATGGGGGCTTATCCACTAGCATATTGTTCCCCTTGGGTTTTCATCAAGACATTATTAGTACTCGAAGTTATTAACAACAAGGAGGAAAACATCAAAGTACGTATTTAAGACACTTACCAACAAGCGCAGCGAGGCAGCAAAGGCAAGTGTGTGTGTGTGTGTGTGTGTGTGTCTGTTGCAGATAAAGGTACAGATATTGTGACTGAGGAAGACTGGTGAGGAAATGGGGTTTGTGTTCGTTATAGTGCCAGAGAGGAAATGCACCATGTGACAGCCTTCACCCTACCAACTGTAGTAACGGCCACATGTTGATTTGATCTTGGTAATGACTGTTAAGAAAGTGTCATGTACACCCCCCTCTACCCCTATGTATTCACACACACACATGCATGAATGCACACACACACACACTCTTGATAATATTTAAATTGAGATCACTCTCATTTACCGACCCGGGTTTGATTTATTTCTTGCTTAGGTAAATGATCTTTCTGCAGATTTTAAGGTACATTTTACAAAATTCTAGAGAAGCACAACAGTGACCTCATGATAAACCACGATGGAAACACTAAGTTAAACCCTTTGGGAAATCCCATAACATCAAAGAGAAGTTAGTTTCATTCTCTTTTGAGCAAGTTGTCTAACAATAAAATTCTACAAGACATATGACTAAAGTAAGTAACAGGTGGTATGTTAAAGAATGCACCAGACATAATTGAGGAATCAGTTTTATTCACTATTTCACAAAGAAATTGTTCTACATTTTAGGATAAAGCTTTAGAAAGTAATCAGAGTGAAGTGAAAATGCGAGCTTTCATCTAGTTCACAAGATTCACACACTAAGTGTGCTCTTTTGTCAGCTTCCTGTTGATTGTTATAGTTCTGTTTTCTCTGGTGAAAATGCAACAAAGTCCGTCCCTTTGTCTTTAGTCTTCTTCTGACTGAATCTGTGGGCCAACAGTCACAAAGTACAGTTTCTCATTTACAGAAATCAAAAATCAGATCAGATGTTCATCTGATTTAGGCCAACACCCTTTTTCTATTTACTCATATAAGAGCCACACCTTCACTAACCTTCTTGTGTTGAATCACCTCCAACTGTGATTAACTCACAACCATACGGTGTCTGTTGTCACACCCAGAGAACATCCTCAATGACGGAAACACCGCAGAATTGTTTGACATCATGTATTTCTTATAAAGAAACTTACAAATGAGACGTGCAAAGTTATTATTAAGCTCGTAAAACTATTTTTTACACAATGCTATAAAACGTAGCTACCCCTAAAGCTAATTGTAAAACCTATGTGGACAACAACTGCAGTGAAACATTTGTGATAACTAGTTTTGAGTAACAGAACAAAAATGCAAACTTTTCATTATAATTATGCGTTTTCCTTACAGATTCATTGTTGATCATGTATAAAGCTGGCTGACTAAACCACAGCACTAGTAAAATATTTAGACAGAAACTTTGTTTTTCTAAATTAATTCATAGTCATCTTCTCACCTGTACACAGTAATAAAAACATATTTTACTCTTATTAACCACGTCATCGGTCTGCAACTTCCTCCAACTTTATTGTTTGTTTCATTAAAAATCTATAAAATCAAGAATGATGTTCCCATGCAGAGGATACAATCCTATCAAGGGTTGACAATTAGACTGATGCTGGCAATCAGGCAGCGAATGCTCTAATTACTATTTTAAAAATATCTTCTTTCAGTTCCTTTTTTGAAACAGAACCAATAAGCCAGTTAACCCAGTCAAACCAGATAACCTGACAAACTGTTTATTTTACTTTATACATGTATTTCCTCATTTTACCCAGAATACTCACAGCTCATCTTTGCTTTTTTCAAAGCCCCTCTCTAGTCCAGTTGTCATGGTAACAACATCATAACAACGATCCGTCCTGCATTCGGGTGAGTGGCCCACAGGGATGCAGTCATAGCCTTTACTGGCTGAGCTCATACGTTTCCTGTTGCGTGCTCCCGGCTGATACAGCTGCATGGCTGGACGGTCCTGCAAGGAAGAGAAGAGGGCAGAGATGAAACAAAGGGCATAGTTTAGATCTAAAGGCTCCACTTGGGATTGAAATCCAGATGTTTGACTACATACTTAAAGACACACAGCTGTTAAAAGTTACAATGTGTATTTTTACACATTTTTAGTGACCTAAAAACACATGTGCCACACAACAAATTCTATTATAAATTAGTAATAGAAGAAAAAAACTATGAAAAAATGTACAAAGATTATGTTAAGAACACACAGGTGAGAGTGATGGTATAATAGGATTTCAGTTATGAATAAATATACTTTTAACATTTTGTTTTTCTTGTTTAAACAGCCCATCATCATCTCCACCACACCATTCAGTGAAAGTGTGAGTGTGTGGGTGGAGGTTGTGTATGTCACAACACTAAGTGACTGACATATTTTGTTTGTAGTAAAAAAATAAATAAATAAACCTTCCGAAGCATAGTTACATGTCTGCATCATGGGATACATCAGTGACCAGCTTCCTTTTAATCTCATGCTCACCTTCTCGCTCACCTTGTTTCGGAGGCGTTCCTTCCTGTTACTCAGCTCCTCCCTGTCCTCCTTTCCCATTTTTTCTCCACTGTCAGGACAGTAGGAGTAACCGTGGTGATGGCCCTCTTTCTTGGCCCGGTCCTGGCAGTAGCCTTTCCCCCACTTGGTCTCATCTTTCCGGCGCATGAACTTATCAAACTCATAGTGGTGTCGTTGTCGTTTTCTTTCTTCATCTTTTCCTCTGTGGTCTTTGTCTCGCTGCCTGCGCCCGTGTTGCTGCTGCTCTCTCTGCTCCTTGTCGCTTTCAGGCTGACCTCTAGTGGTTACATAAAGTAGAGCATGCACTACTGAAGATAATGAATTGTTTTTCATAAAGGTACAACCACAATAATGAAATTTCCGGCTACTTAAAAAAAACGTTTACATTTTTTTCCCTTAAATGTCAAAATGAATTTCACTGTTAAATAATTTTAACTGCAGGCAATAAAGAAATATTTAATTTTCCAACAAAAGTGTCTTTTGGATGAAGAACATTGCTAAAAATTTACATTCCATATACTTTTAAATGTCAACAACCTAGAAATAAACTAATTAGAACATTTACATTTGGATTATTTTGTTGATATAATAAAAAAGAAAACAATGGCAGAAATTTCTACATGTTTTCAATGCATGTACATTGAATCATTTAGCAGGTCTTACTTCTCTTTGGGATCTTTTGACTTCATTTGTCCCACAGATTTCTCCCAATTACCCCTGTCTCCATCACCAGTATCACTTTTCTCCTTCGTTCTGTCTGAATCAATATCATCATCTCTGTCGCTTTTCTTCAGGAGCTAAATATCCCACCCCAAAAAAAAAAAAAGGAAAATTACGTTCTATTTGTGTGCAGCTGCACCATTCACACATGATAACCACATTAACAGCACTGAAAAGGAGAAGTGATACCTTAATTTTGATGTCCTTTTCTGACAGTTTCTTCTGCTTCTCTGCCTCTTTTCGCTTGCGCCTCTCTTCCTCTCGCCGCTTTCGCTTTTCTTCCTCTCGCTGCCTTTTCTTTTCGAGTTCCCTCCTTCTCCTTTCCTCTCTCTTCTCCTCTCTGATTCTCTGTTAAATGTGTGAAACATCAAAAATGAGTTTATTTTTCATGGTTTACATTTAATTGAATTTTCCTCCAACTGTTTTATTTCTTACCTGTTTTTCAATTTTCTTATTTTTGATGTATTCCAGCAGAGGTGTTGTCCTTTTGGCTGAAAGCAAACCAAGAAAAAGAAGCAATGATGTGATTTATCTTTTGGAACAACCCTAATTTAGAGGTATGATTTTGTTTTAGTAAAAACAGAGTACCTATGAGTTCTTTAGTCTTGGCTTCAATCTCTCCGAGCAGAGTCTCGGGGTTAGCCATGGACTTCTCCTCATCACAGGAGTAATTCTCCAGGAATCGCTTGTATTCCGGGTCTAAAATAGTTTCACAGCCCAATTAGAGTTATAAATTGTACTGTTAAATTCAAACAAGATCCTTTTAAGTAGTAACATTCTGTGTATGCAATATTTTTAAGACAATAATAACAGCTTATATCGGTCAGCCGATATATCATGCCTATATTTACCGTTTGTTATACATCAGCATCGGCCTGTGTATTTGTCCTTAGTAAGACCAATTTAAAGTGACACTAAATAGCTTTTTTAAACTTTAAGCTAGAGCTCTAACATTGATCTCAGTGATTGGTGGGTTAAAAACTTGACCAGTTTCAAATTTGTCACCTCTCTGCAGCCCTCTGCTGGCCAGACACACTGAACTTTACAGTTTTGTGGAGGGGGTAGGTGTTCTACGAGGCGCTCTTTTATACGCATTACGGCTGTTAGCTATTCTCTGCAGTTAGCTTTTTTCAGTTTGCTGATCGTCAATAAAAAGTACAAGAAGAAGAAAAATAAATTTGCTTTTCTGTTGGCAGAGCCTGGAAGTAAAAGTAAGAGAGTAAAGCTAACAGCCATAATGTAGGTAAAAGAGCTCTACCTAACACCTACCCGCTCCACAACACTGTTAAGTGCAGTATCTGGCCAGCAGAGGGCTGAAGAGTGCTTTAAAATACGAAACTGGTCAAGTTTCTAACTCAACAATCTCTGAGATAAGTGTTAAAACACTAACTTAAAGTTTGAAAAGCTATTTAGTGGTACTTTAAAGTCAGCCACATCCTCAGGCAGCCCGGTGCTTTTGCAGAATTTAATTTAAACGTATTTTTATGTTCACTAATAATATCTGCATAATGAATATTCTAAATTTACTTTATTTAGGTGTCAGACTTTAACACTGAGTAGTGCACAAGGTTATAATTTAACAGTTAAATTCAGAGTTGAAAAACTGATTCTGTTTCAGAAATTTTGAGCATCAACTGATGTTGTTAGCATGAAAATAAGGTGGAAAATGTCCAGATTTCAGCCATGAAATTGGGCCCATAGCAATCAGCAGTACATATCAGCCATGCCTCCTCATTGGCATCGGTATTGGCAATTTAAAAAAAAAATCATTCTACCTCTATTTAGAATGTATACCCATACTTTGTTTTGATACCTTCTTCAATGCTTCCAGCTTTGGCATCTTTCTTCTTCAGTTTCTTCTTGGAAATCTTCTGAAAGGGAGCAAATTCTACCACAGCAGGATACTCCTGGCCTGAAATCAAATTAAACAAAATACTTTTTTACAAACCTACTATCAAATGGTGGCAATGACTATAAAAGCTCTGAATCCGCTCAAGTCTAATAAAGTTCAAATATGTTTTCATTTCTAGTTCACATTATAGTCAAAATCTTTTTGAGGAAAATTCAAATACCCTTGTTATCAATGAAGACATAGCCGTCAAACCGATCCCTGAACAGCAGAATGTCTTCTGTGTTTTTAAAATTGATGTAAGCTCTGGAGAACAGGTGAGGGTAAAGACTATGAAGAAAAACAAAAGTCAAACATTAATTAGGACAGCAAGTCACTGCAATAACCCTAACACTGCACTATTAGGTTTTACATCTGGTAATACCTTTGATCTGCAGAGAAAAACTCAAAATAATCATAAGATGGAAGTGGGCTCAGCTGTTCCTCTAACTGGTCCTTTGACAGGCTAGGTGGAAGCCTTCGGATTACCACCTGTAACAAAGTCGCACAGCTACATTTAGTTTCTTCCAAGCAAAACAAGCAGGCAATTCAATTATATTTGTTTTTATATTTGTCCCAAACATACATAAAAAATAAACATTTCCATGCAGATGTGAGTTTTAGGATCATCATCAGATGTAGTCCTGAATCAGTTTGTAACAAGGTAGGGCTGTTATAAAGAAGCAAGTGACTGAGTGGGATTAGAAATTAGCACATTTATTATTTTTCCTACTAATAAATAGTGTTTTCATTGTTAAGATTTTTATTTTAGTGTCAATACTTTTTTGTCTATAAAATGTCAGTTTTTTAATTGTGTAAATCAAAACAAATAAAAAACAACTGTTTTAATATATCGTTTTGGTCCCAATGTGTAGTGCATGGGGAAACTGGCAGCAATACTCTGGTTACTAAACATGCCGGATTATTTGTGTTTGACTCACAGCACGTAGATGAGATCAGCTGAGCCAGTAAAAAAACATTGAATTTAAGAAAATGTAGCCTTATTTCTGGATGTTTTTAATAACACAAGGGAATAAAAATGTATAAATTAGAGAAAACTAATCATATAGCAGACAGACTAACAGACAGATAGATAGATAGATAGATAGATAGATGATAGATAGATGATAGATCTCTCTGAACTGATAAAATGTGTTTCCCTTTCCTGTCGCTGTCCCTGGTCCTGAAGCGTCCTCCATGACTCCATGTTGGTATCCCGGAGTGTAAACACCGCTGCGCGTCTGTCCAGCCTGCTCACGTACCTTTGAGAAAACCTCTTTCTTCTCTTCCTTCTGCTTGGCGTTACCAGGAATGATGTCCTGCTCTCTCGAGAGGTCCCTAAACTGTATCTCGACGACACATTTCTCCTTGCCAACCATCATCTCGTCCTTTTCAGACCGCATTTCTCCCCATCACCCTTCTCTCGCTGATTGCCGTTTCTCTATGCTCGCGAGAAGACGGAAACAAAATACCGCGAGAGGTGAATTCGCGGATAATGGTTCGTCGGTTCATGCCGTTTGGAATTTGAATGGTACTTTTTTGTGATGTTTTATTATTTCTGTCAACCGTTACAAAAGTCTTAAGAGTGAGAATGTCCCAGTGGGTCTTTATTGTAATGCTTTATTTTAGGTTGTGTGTGTGTGTAACTTGTCAGTTTAGTGACGACCCCCCCCCCCCCCCCCCCACCACCACCACCACCACCATCCAACTGCTCTTTAACACAAATTGCTAATCAACCAATCACATAGTGGCAATTTTGTACTGGTTGACATGGCCAAGAAAACCTGCTGCAGAGTCTATGTACCACCAGTTTATTGCCATGTTAAAGTGTTGAACTGGGTGGGAAAAGCACAATAACCCATAACACAACTTTTTTTTTTTTTAAAGAGATAAATGCATGGTTTATTGTAGGAATAACAACAAAAATCTATTCACCAAAATTGATTCTATTCAGCTGGTTCTTCATCCAGAGTGAAAATCCACAGGTTAAGCAGCAGGGAGGGTCCTGCCTCAGGCAGTAACAAGTGATATCATCTTTAACATGTGATGTGAGGTACGTGGCTGTGTTTGAAAAACAGGAGGCAGGGGGCCACGTGTTTCCAGTGTTTCAGCCCAAGACTAAACACATTCAACCTCTTAAACAAGGCATGTGTTCATACACCCCCTTTTAAAGTGCATTCTTGTTAATTCTTATGGTATACAATGGGTACTGGATACAAATTCACAAATCTCCGTTCAAAACCTTCACTGTATCTTTGTTTAAGACCACTACATAGTGCACAAAGGGGGAAAGGACAGCTGCTGAACATGTGGGTTGGTTGATGTCCTTTGGGCTTGGGTACTTGCATCCATGACAACCTGTTACTACAGCAGTTCCACCTCCTCACAGGATAAGATCACGTGCTGGTGTCTGATAGGGTGTCTAGCATCATGTCGCTCTCGTACATGTCACACTCAAGGGTCAATGAGAGCCGAAGAGGCGTCTCCAGCATCATCTTGTCCTGATTGGATACGGGCGTTTCCAGTGGCGTCACGCTCGTCTCATCCAACCTTGGCTCAGCTGGAAGCTCACCAGACTCTGATGTGTTCAACATCTTCATCAGCGCCGGAGTGGTCAAGCTGCCTCGCACCTTGTCATTTATGTCTGTGCCTTTGGAGGAAACACAGAAAAAAAGAAAAAAAAAAAAACACATTAAAATCGCTACAATACAAAATAATAGCTTAAACATCTAATTTATCCTATTTTTTTTAAGTTAGACCAAAATCTGTCAATATTTGGTGTAGTCATATATTAATGTAATCAAATGTCATTTGATTTAACTTCAACATAAATGTGCAAAAAAATAAATAAGATGAACAAGAACTATAGTTTACAAAAATAGAAAATTATCTGAGGCTCTCAGGAGGATAAAAATAGTTTCAAAGCCTTTAATATTCCATGGCTAATCAAATAAACCAATGTCTACTAGTTTCAGCCACACTGGTCTTCGTCGGGACAAGACATGTTTGTTAGTCGGCTTACTTCTCAGAACCTTTTCTTTTTTGGTATTGCTTGTATCCCTAACCTGAAGAGCACCGGAGGTACTCACAACCGCTTCACACCCTAGAAGCACTACATGCGTTTTTGATGTTTTTTACCTGATATTTGAGGACATAAAAGTACTTGAATGTATTCTAAAACACCAATACAAAACCAACCGATATAGGAATCTGTGTCACCGAAGTACATCTCAATGCAATGACCGAGCATGGTCACGGAGAAAGTGTCATCCCTTTTCAGTCCTAGTGCCTGTCACGGGAAAGAAACATCAAATCAGAATCCATTCTCTATACTGCATCTAGCATTACAGCAATACACCTAAAAGCATGAGCATCATTAAAAACTATTTTCACTGATTCATGAGTTCATGCTTTCATCTTTTTAATCCGGTGACATTATATTGTTTGTACAAGCATGTAGAGGACTGAAATAGGCCAAATCATATTTTGTAAACTTACTGTGTGAAAATAGTCAATGGCACTTTCAAAGTCTCCCATGAGGCTGTGCACGTATCCTATTGCAGAATAAGTAGAGGCGTGCTGCGGGATCAACACCAGGGCTTGACGGTGGTACTCCAGAGCCTGCTCGTACTTTCTACAAAATTAAAAATGACAAATATGAATACAAAGTCAACTCTAAATAGGCAAATATTAGCAAAAAAACGAGTTAAATATATTTCAGTTGGAGTTTAACTCCATTCTTGGTGAAACAAATCACTAGTGGAGAAAGACAGTTCCACAGCTGTTGAGCACCGGTGTCCAGTTGGATGACGTGCAGAGTGCTATCTAGTCAAAAGTAATAAAACAATGCAAGTCACACATTCCATTTATAACACAGTACTCTATAAGTTACAAATAATGAAAAATCATCTACGTTTAAATGTTGCATCATATAAAAAACAGCTTTCACTATTGCTGCCACGATTAGTCGATTTGTCGCGATGACGCCAACAAACAAAATAGTCGAGAATAAATGTAATAGTCGTCGACATTGTTTATTCTGAGCGTTTTTTAAAGTTCGACTTCGGCGGCTGCTTTCTGCTTGAAGCACATGCACAGCAGTGGGCCTCCAGATCAGCTTTGGAATCATCACCGTAAAAAGAAAACATCATGAGGAGTCAGCAACGTGGCTCAAAAGTTTAGGATCATTTTACAAAGACAAAAGAAAGGCACGTAGAGTGCATAATCCGCAAAGTGAAACTCTCCTTTCACAGGAGCACATCGGCGATGCATGTCATGGCAGAGAACGAACAGTCACCTCTGTAAGCTAATTACCTCGTTAGCTGCTAACATCAACAGTTACTTGTACTCATTGGTGTAACAACAACTGTAGCGCTAATGTTACAAATGCTAGTGATTTATTTTATCCCGCTACGTTACAATGTTATAAAAAGCAACCCTACTCTACAACGGATGAGTTTGTTACAAAGCCAAAGAAAGATTATTTTAGCTGGATACATTTGTGAGCACAAGTCATTTTGTGTACTATGCATTTTTGTTTTAGGTGCCTATCTGCATTTGACTGTAACATTTGTATGAACAGGCTACAAAGTTAATTAAAAGTTGATAAGTTATCATCTTGTCTTTATTATTAGATGGCACATAAGTGATCACACTTCAAACTAGAAGCTATTGATGGGTATATTAGACAATCCTGGTGCAATAAACTATACTTTTGCACGACACGATTAGTCGAGTATTAAAATAGCCGTTTGTGGCAGCTCTGACTTGAACTCACTATTTCTCCACTCGCGTCACCAACTATCCCAGTTCTACAACAAGTGCATTAGTGGTTTACTGTGTTTTTAGAGATCCTACTCTGACACCCCATTTGGACGTCCAACAGGATCTTTTGCTTCTGATTCTGGTAAAACACTTTTTTTTTAATTAGAAATAAAATAAAATCTGCAGGTTCTTAGAGTGGGTGCTTCTGACGGCATTAAGCAAAAAGTAAAGCGTTAAAGTCCACATGGGATTTTAATTCAAATTAATCGGACGTAAACACAAACTTACTTCAGTTTTCGACACACGTGACCCAAGTTATTTAACAAGGGCTCCCACTTGTCCACAGTAACCTTGAGTAAACAAGACAGTAAAAAACAAAAACAATCATTCTTCTGTAGAACCACCTGTGTTAAAAACACAATGACTCCACCAAATGATCCCTTACCTCATTCCCTATGGCTTTGATCTTCTCCATTGCATCAAGAAATAACCTTTCTGCTGTTTTCCAGCTGCAACAGTAGCAAAGAAGCACTCTTACCACATATTAGTTTATTACAGAATACATCAAACACTATGGTGTTACAGACATCAGCTTCATGCAAATCTTTCTGTCCACTGAAACAACAGTTGAGGAACAATTAACTGAACTATCAATCATTTTGTTGCCATAGTGACTGCATCAGGACCAATAGTTAAAAACAGACCTACTTTAACAAAAAAAAACACAGCTTGGCAGCATCTATTTGTGGTAACATTTATACAACACCATGACCTCTTAGCATGCTGTCTTTGTGTGTTTGCAGTAATTAACTTACTCCCCATTTTGAAACGCAACCACCGCCACCTCATGGATGACAAATGGGTCTTCTGGAGCGATGCTGAGAGCCTGGCTGAAGAAACGCTCTGCCAGTTTAGAGTTGTTGGTCAGACCATATTCCAGTCCAATGTAGAGCATGGGTAAGTGACAGCTATAGAAAAAACAAATAAACAATCCACATTCATAGTAAATTAAAAACATCGAACAAAATAAACTTACATCTGAGACAGGTGACACCTCACAAAGCTAAAAACTTCTAACTTTATACAGTTGTGTAAAGACGCTGTTTATGAGGCCTAATTCTGTTATTCTAACTCTAAAACCCTGTCCTAAAGGAATAAATCCTCTGATACTTCAGCCTGTTTGCTTTTTAGGCATGAAATAAATAACTAAAAGAGTTTATTATCAGTTGCTATACAAAATTTTTGCTCTCAGTTTGAACTTGTCCCAAGTTCTGTAATTTAGGTTTTGTTAACTCTCAGTGAGTTAAACTCAAACCATTTAAAAGTGGCTATTGCAAATTTAGAAAACAAATTAGTTAAAAAAATATTCATGCCTCTTAACAACGTTCTAACATAGTATAGCTATAAATATCTTTTGGCGATAAAAAAAAAAAAGAATAAAGTGGTTCTCTTGCATTTATTTGAAAACCTCCGCCAATAGCACGGCTCAAACCGAAAGCAACTACTGAACCATCCGGATGTCGGTCTCACCAAACCGCCACAGTTCTGAGGGGTACTCCATTCATTACACACTCGCGTATTTAGCAACAGAACACCACTGGTGTGAGAGGTTCTCAGTAGTGATGTGTCAACGCTTCGAAGTGTGCTTCAGGTATACAGGAAGATTTTTTTGTGAAGCGCGTATCGAGGCTTGTGTTGATTACGTAAGCAGTGACGTTTGAGGCCTCGTTGGCAGTCCGTGCCGCGTGATCAATCCAGGAACTGGCTCGTGCTGGATTCTAAATAAAAGGGGCAGCCACACACCGCTGATTCCCTCGTCACATTGTGCTGTCGAAACCCCAAGTCCTGTTAGTTTTCTCTCTATTTTGGACCAGACCGTATATTAAAAGGACAGTTTAAGATGATATTAAGAATATATTGCCATCATAAGCATTTATTTCCTCAGTTTAAAGGTTTACAGTTTTACTTGAATCGTCCAACTGATGGCGCAATAGAGCAAACGAAGCACCTTGGCGCCTCAAATCAAGAGTTGACCAGTCGGATGGAAAGCTTCAGCTCATCATGACGCTTCATCTCGCCATCACTAGTTGTCAGCACAATAAGGAAAAACAGCCCTAGTCTAGGTAATCTGGATGTACTCAGGAGGTTTTTTTTTTTTAAGATATCGTAGAAAGTTGCTGACTTTTGGTCAAACTTAAAACGTAAGGCGGAAAACGTAGTCCAGTGTAAATACTGTAAAATGCATTTAGCCTGCCACAACACCACATCCTCCATGCTGCAGCACCTGACCAGGAAACATCCACATGTAAATGTCACTTCTGCAAGCGGACTCGGAGGTCCGCTATATATTCTGGACACTGTGCGAGTTTTTCGTATGTAGCACTCAGTTTTCAGCTCACACTGGTAGCAACACGTCGGACCTAAAAATGTGCTAAAAATAGCAGTTTTTACAACACGTCAGACTTTTTATTGCGTTGTTATTGACGTCTGTTGTCCCTCGGGATTGCTGCAGGAGGACACAGGTATTTATGAGTGGTGGAGGAAAATGAAAGAAAGTAAATAAATGTTTTGTGATCAGTATAACTTGACATAATCATGGCAAACATGCTTTCTCGAAAATCCTTGTTACTGTGTGAGAAAAAAAAGTGTAGAAATTAAAACGGACGTGTGTTAATAGGGAAATAGCTGGCGAGCCATGTTAGCACATGCGCCGTGAGCGGTTCTAGTGCTGTTTGGGCCGCAGCCGCTCCCAGCGCTACTTCAACAGTTATCCTCCTAGTTTTTGTCTGGCTTGCAAGCTAGTAGATTCTCACACGAGGGGAAAATCGGCTCAGGTGGTATACCTATTTTTTGCACAGACATTTGTTTACTGTGAAGTAAAGTTGAAGTGCTGAAGTTTTGAAAACTAATTTTGAATAAAACTTGAAGAATAACTGGCAATTGCGTGCTCATTGCAAGAGGTCTTTCATATTTTATAACATGCTATGTGATATAATGGTTTACAAACGCAAAAGGGTAATTTATTAGAGTACTTGATTAATCAATAAAAGATTCGATAGAGTACTCGATTACAAAAATAGTCGATAGCTGCAGCCCTAATTCGTTCATTAACCCTTTCATCAGCTGAGCAGCAGTGAAGTAGGCAGCCATGGCTTGATCGTGTTCACTCTCCACAGCAAACGAGTGGCCGTAGGCGATCCACGCAGGACCGTAGGTTCTCTCCAGGGTCGTGGCTTTGCTGCAGGAAATTCACAACAGGAGGTTAGCATTAACCTGAAGGTGCAAGTTCAGTAATATGGCCTTACATCTTTCTAACAAAATTACCTAAGGTATCGGCGGGCGTGTTCATTTTTGCTGCCGACCATGAGATAGTAGCACCCAACGGCAAACCAGGATACCTGGTAAAAGGTTCAACTGGTTATGAAAGACAGTTAAGAGTATGTTTCTGCAAAAAGGTAAATAAAACAAAACGCTTACCGGGTTGTTGGGGTACAAGTCAACAAGTCTGTGTGAGAGGTAAAATAACTCTGCAGAGATGAAAAAAAAAAAAACTGATCAAAAACAAAAGCCGAGAATTCCAGATTTTTTATGTATTTATTTATTTTGGGTGGATTACCATTTGATTTACCGAGCTCCACCAACGTTCCTATGTGAACTGGTAAACAGTTGGCATGGAAAGGGTCTTTTACCAACACCCTAAAGGAAAAAAAACAAGAGTCTGACTTTTAAGTAACTTGTTTAACTCTTTATATGTAGATGCACAGCTAAAAGGCTGCCAATAACAATACCAACCACACATTAGTTATCATTAAACTTAATATTTCACCAAAAGGAAAAAAAAAGGATGAAATGTGAGGACACCTACATGGCTGTGAGTTTGTAGCACATCTTGAAATCACAATTATAATAGTGCCTCTCAGCAAGAGACACGACTACATCCAAGTTGTCCTGAAGACCGTTTACCATCTCTGGCACCACCAGATCACTGGGCTTGTTATACTGCAGAGACAGAAAAGGACAGTTTATGTGTCTTCGCTCTCAGAGCAACGATTGGACGGCTATGAAACCACATAAAGGCCCTTATGCAAACGTATTACAAGGTATTTTTATACTACAATACAATATTGATGAGTATCATAGCATCAACTACATAGTTTTAACTCGTCTTTCTATAACCGTTCATAGATCAATCTGTAAAAGCGAATCTGAGCTCTTACTAGAGGTAGACGATATTTACCTTTTTTTATACATCGGCATCAGCCGATTTCTGTCCTCAGTCAAGCCGATTTTTAGTGAGGCGCATTATTAGGGCAGCCCAGTGCTGTTGCAGAGTTTAATTTCAAATTTAAATTCACTAATACAATCTAATTAATACTAATTAGGTGCCTGACTTTAACACTGAGCAGTTCACAAAGTGCAGATTTAACAGTTAGTTAAATTCAGAGGTCAAAAACTGAAACTGATGTTGTCAGTGAGTTTTGCATGAAAATAAGATGTAAAACCTCTGAAAATTGGCAGTACACATCGCTCATCGGCTGACCATGTCTCCTACATATCGGTATGGGCAATAGAAAAAACAATATCGGTCGACCGCTAGCTCTTACCACTGTAAAAGTGATTTTGGAACTACAGAGAAATCAGACCCACGTACCGCAAGGTCACAATGAGCTAAACCACAATTTAAGCATCAGTTAACATTATGGCTCCATACAAAAAGTGCTAATTGATTTTATAATAGGCGAAGCTGAAATAAAGATTTTAGCCTTGCCAGAGTCAGAAAGAGAAAAATATTACACTATAAGAAAAATGGCAGCACCTATAAGATCGCAGTTTATTTTCTTTATTGTTTTTTTACCTCCACCAAGGCGGTAATGCTATTGCTAACTTGCTTTTATGGTTGGGCAACAGGATATCTGCATGCATCTTTAATTTAGAAATTTTTTGGATGCTTTACACTGCTCCAGTATTTCATTTCCTGTCTGGCTTGATCTGAACTACTGAGCTTGATGCATTCTAGAAGTGCGGCATGTAAAATATAAACCTGACATGTAAATTATACGCGCTGTCAGAAGGAAAAAAAAAACATTGAGTATAACGATGACTCTTCCACGTGTACTGCACTTCACGCATGTCAAGTGTTGCTTACACATCCCGTGGAAAGCTGGGATAACTCTTCTGCAGTTTTGTTAAAATATTTAACAGTCAAATTTAAATTATTGTAATTTTTTGTCTGATAAAGGGCTGTTAATTGTCCACTCACCATTAAAATGCACAATTATTACATTTTACAGTTTAAAATATTTGTACGCATAGAAAACAAATGTTCCTTTGAAAAAAGATGTTACCTTCTTTAATTTATTTTCAAAAAGGAAGTGTAGCAGCTCCTCCTCTTCCTCTGTGCACTGCTGATTAAGGTTAAGTGACCCGAGGAAGTCTTTTTCTGAAAAAAGAGCAGAAAGTTTTCTTGAAATGGTAAAATTCTGAATGCTGCTGCTGCTGCACGGTAAACAAAAACAAAAAGCCACATGATTTGAACAGATTAACCGCACCTTCCTGTGCCGTCAACATGTGGTGGGAAGTCAAAAGGTCAAAGGCTTCAAAGCAGTACACATCTAGTTTCAAGGCCTCTTTGTAGCTGGAGGTTGCCAGAGGCCTGTTGTCCATGGCATCGTAGATCTTACCCCGCAGGAGGCAGATGGAGCTACTGATCTGCAGTTTACCAGAGTAAAGGAGAAAATAAACAAAGAGTAAATGCCTAGAAGTAGATTATTGTCAGTTTCCTATAAACTACTTCAGGCCTTAAAGTGGGATAATGAGGATGAGAATAGGGCTGTAACAAATGATTATTTGGATCATCGATGAATCGGACGGGGTCTCGACTCGATTAATCGGGAATTTTTTTAAATTGCAAGGGAAACCTTTTTTCTCTCCTTCAGTTACTCTGCCAACAGAACATGATTGTGTTCTGTTTGTTAACAGAGTTGTTAAATGTTAAAATAAAGTTCATTAAACAAAATAAGAAACATCCTGGATCGGTTTCTTCACTTTCTTTATTGAAGTATCAGATCGATACTCTGTAGCCGCAGATTCTCAAAATCTAATTATTAGGACTTGAGTGCAAAAGAAAAAAAAAAACTGATCAGAAAAAAAAAGTTTAGTTATCATTAAACTTATGCTACAGTAGCTTGCCGTATTCCTTCAGTGGAGTGGTGTTGGGCAGAGCAGACGTGAAGCAGCAACTAGGGGTTGCATGACTTAATTTTTTTTAAAGTCGACAGTCAAGTAATGAAAATCGAGTCGACTTTGACTAGTCGTCGATGACGTCATACACCTGAAGCAGCACAGGGGGGGGGGGGGGGTCGGTAGGTTCGCTGGAGTTTTTGACAATTAAAATTGTGCCCACATTTTCAAAGTTAAACACATTTCTTTTAACAACGGTAGTTTCTGCTTCAGCCCTCTCCCCCCTCCCCCTGCGCAGCGGCCGCAAACTCACTGATGCGCCTGCAGCCTCTCAGTGTTCCTGCTGCTCTAAATATTAAAATAATTATTTCATTTTCTGTTCCTCACTTCTGATTACCTTCAATGGTGTCTGTTTGTTGCAACCACCAGGTACAAAAACTAACTTGTTTTTATTTGACTATTTTTCTGTCCTGTCTGTTTATTATCTTCCTGCATCTCCTCTCACTCCTAAAGAAAAACTGCTACATGGGTTCATATATATTCACCTTATGAGTTACCTTTGAACTGCAGTTCTAAAAGATCTACCGACCACAAAAACAGCAGAGTGCAGCTGCTCGCCGGCCGACTACAACGGGACCGTTTTTACTGCGGAATTCGTGCCGGAGCGGAGCGGATAGTGGAATCTTGGGGGTGCGTCACCGGAGGACAAAACAGGTGATGCGCCTGGCTCCGCAACAGCGAAACGCATCAGGCACAAATGACAGACAGAAAACATTAAAGGAAATGAGCCGACATGAACGATCGCGTGTTTAACTTGTTTTTGAGGTGGCGACACCTGATTTGGCGGTGCTCAGGACGCAGATGTCTGGAGCGCGTCAACAATCAGAGCTTTGCATGTGCAAACTGGTTAAGATTAGGATGGGGTGAGGGGAAGGTTAAATTGCAAGAGGGAAATGGTCACAGTTTGGTTAAATGTCCGTTTTACCGCGGGCGTCAGTACCGACGCTCTAGCACAGCGCGTTGCCTCCGCCTTCCGACGCGCAGGGGCTCATCACCTGCTGTCTTTTCCCAGGACTGCATCTTGTCAGTCATTATCACGTGACAGTGACTAGTCGATGACAGGCATAAAAAGTCACTACAGAGCCGTGAAGTCGACTAGTTCATACAACCCCTAGCAGCAACCTGACTGCAGCGGCGCTGGTTCTGCTCCGTAGCGTTGCAGACAGCTTCTGAACAGGATGATGATGGGGGACTTCTCTTCCGCTTGTAGAGTTTAGATTTTAGTTTCACAACTATCGTGTTTTTTGGAACCCACTTAATCGTGAGCCTGCTACCCGCTAGCATTAGCTAATCTGCTTGTAGCTACACCTTTGATAGCAAACTGGACTGTTTCTGCCTCTGTGTCTGCTGGTTTCTCTGCTTTCCTCCACAGAACCTAGATTAGCACAGCGTGTGCCAGTAAAAGGCATCTTCCTTACACAATAATTACACGTGCAACATATTTGTGTCTTGCGTTCTGATCTGCCTCGGTCTGCTCTGCTGACACATCAGATGAGCTGCACGCATTGACTGTTACTTAAAGGTTGCATAACACAAAAAAAAGTTGCACAACACGAATCGATGACGAAAAGCGTTGCCAACGCCTTTCTTCATCAAATTCTTTAGATTTGATCAATTTGTTGTTGCAGCACTAGATGAGAATTCACCAAAAACCATAAATAGTCCTATATGTCTACTGCCCCCCGGTGGAAAGGGACAGTTTTATGACTTCAATAATGTTGTTTTTGTAATTTGATTACACAATAAAATGTTGTTTTAACTAGGGATGTGTATTGGTGAAATTCTGGCGACACGATACTTATCACGATACAGGGGAGACGATACGATATTCAGTCGGACAATTATAGCGATTTTTTTAGGCTAAAATTATTATAAGAAAATTCAATAAATGGTCCAAACTGATTCTTAACACGATTAACATGAGGTATCTGAACCATAATAGAGGGATTTACATTTCAGTGGTGGAAAGCAACTCCACTGCACCCTACTGCTGACTAGCGGATGGCATTTGATTTGCACCAAAAGAAAAGAAAATACACAAATGTTTGCACGTAAATTCTTCCCAAAAAAATCAATACACAGCTTTTGAACATCGATATAATATCGCAGGAAAAATATCGCGATATATTGCTATATCGATATTTTCTTGCATTCCTAGTTTTAACATTAGCCAGCACGTAGCTAGGTTTAAAAAGTTACATTTAAACATTTTTCATAGTACAGGCTAAAAGGGGTTAACAAAATATTCATCAATCTTCAACAAGATGACAAATATTTTAAAAGAACATTTTATGCAAAATTTTCTATTAAGCATTGTGAAATAAAAAAAATAATGGTAGGTAGACTAGACAAACCATCATAACAATGACACCAAAGCTTACAGAAGCTGGAGACATGTCCCAGTCCTTTGCAGACTCTGTCCCACCGTCCTCCTTCCCCCTTTGCTCAAGTAGCTTCCTATTAGCTGGCTCCTCTGCATCCAGGATGTCCAAGGCCTGCTGGAACTCTTTGGCAGCATACTAAAGAGATGATAATCATACCATGTTTGTGTTTTAATATTTAATACGGTATAGACTGGAATACTTAGAAAATGGAATAACAAACTTCTTTTTGACTTACATGGCACCTAGCAGCAAGATACTGACAAGCTCCATATAACTGTATGGATAAAAGCAACAAGATAAATTATGTAGATTAAATTATTATGAAGTTATTTTTACAAACAAAAATAGGAATGTGTTTAAACTCCAATCTCATCACTCACTAACCAGTTCAATATTACCTACCTTGTCAAGCTTTCGTGACCGGAGGGCGTGTGAGGCTCTGTGGTACTGTGAGGTGAGATAAAGGCACTGAGCGAGCCAGTAGATATCCTGGGGGTCCTCTGTGTGTCAAACAAAGAGGCAGAGGTGATCATTTTCTGCTAAAATGTTGTTGAGAGCAGTGTTTCCCTTACATAGGCGTTGCCATAGCGGCCCGCCACGGCTGAAATCCAAGCGCCACGCCTACAATATCCCGAGTTTTTTTTTTTTACGCTGTTTCCCAAAGAAGCAGCGGGAACTACTCTGTTGTTGCTTGTGATCACAGGCGGCAGGCAGCAAGGAGGAGGAGGCAGGGCAGGGTGAAGTTACAGCATACGTTACTGAGTTCAAATTAGAAAGGTAGCAGTAGATATAATGCTTTTTTGTTTGCAGCCCGCCAGGTTTTCCTCCCCCTGCCAGGCTAAGCGTCACTTATTTATGTCAGGGTGACCATATATCCTCTTTCCCCGGGGCATGCCCACTTTTCACTGTCTGTCCGGGGCGTCCGGGAGGTTTTCCAACATTGATCAAAATGTCCGGTTTTTCATCCAGGAGCAGGGATCAAGTTATGGGGGGCTAGATATATTTCAGGAAAAGATCCAGCTTCTGCCTGTATTACAATATTTATGGACTCTCAGCGTAGCGGGATTCTGTGGAGCGGAGAGGATGCAGAGCGCTGATCGTTGGTGCGTCCGGCACATGATACATTCTCAAGGTGGTGCAACAAAACATTATTATTAACACATGATCGTTCATATCTGTTTATCCTCTGATATTCTGTCTGTTAATCGCTCCGTCATCGTGTGCTGCGGTGATTTCACCTCACTGACGCAATATCGAAATGCACACTCCGCTTTGCGGTCAGGAGATCCCTTTGATCTGCTCAAAATTAACTGATGAGGTGAAAAAGTAAGAATCCAAGCAGCAGTTTTTCTGGAGAGTTTAGAGGAGATGAAGGAAGATGAGAGACAGACAGGACAGGAAAATAGTTAAATAAAAACAAGAAAACAAAGCTACGTGTTTGAAAGTAAAATGTAGGTAGATTTATCTCCACTACGCGTTTTATAAAACAATAAGTTATACACATGTAATATTTATACATTTGATACAGTTCAGATTATCTGAATCAGATCATCTTCAAAACTCAGCCACACACCCAGGGCTGTTTCAAGGTATTTTGGGGGCCAAGGCAAAACAGAACATCCCCCCATCACTGGGTTCCCCCAGAATTGTGTAATTCCTACCCTGTCCAGGAGTGTTAATTATACAGTTTTTATAAAAAAACACCTCAGACATTACTGACATGTTCTAATATTGTCTGACGAAAAACAAAATTGTTGGACATGCTTTCTCATCTGCTTCTTTTCTAAACTCACAAAAATCTGTCAGTAACAAAACCGTTTAAAAGATACTATTTGTGGGTTTTCAGAAAGTTTTCATGGAGTTCATGACAAACTTGTTTTTTTATCATTGACCCTATTTTCTAATCTCACAGCTGAAACAAGCATCCTTAATAATCTGTGCACAGGAAGCTTACCAATGCTGTAGTAAAACAAAAGGTATAATCATTTTTTGATTAATAAAACCTTGTTGCAGCAATAAAGCAGCAGAAAAATTAGATTTTGCAATAAATATGCAAAATATTTACAAATGAATTGTTAGTTGGAGCTGCCCCGTGACTGCCTGATGGAAAATCAGCGGGTTTCATCAGACTCGTAAAGTTTCTTGTTTTTGCTGGGGATCCCCTGTATTTTACCGCTCCCTCCTGCAGTCTTCCTCTATTAAAATTTAAAGTGATTCTGTAATCAGACCACAAGGCCCTTGAGATGTTTTTCCAGATGCCAAGAAAAATTAAATGACAGTATGCGGCTAAACGCAGAAGATGTGCTACCACACATGAAAACAGGATAAAGTGGGAGGATGATTTGTGACAGAAAACTGTCCACCCACAGAAGATCCATTTAGAAAAATTTGAGACTGTAGAACAATGCATGTGAAAACAGCTCAAATGTACACTGTCAATCTACGTTTCTCCATTTTACTTTATAAAATAAATAAGTTGACCTAAAAGTGACAGTGCTAGTGCCAAATTATGGATTGAAGACCTAGACCCAGAGTCTATGCCTGGACTACCAACAAACTAGTAAACTAAACAGTAAAAGACTTCATGTGCTAATAAATCTATCAGTGCTTTCATGGGCTGTAATGCAGTTATGACACTACTTCCTTTAGCACTGAATGAAATGCCTCAAATGCGAGAGAGGGGGGAGAAAATCAAAGCAACGTGGGTTAAATATATTTGCAAGTGAGAGAGAGAGGAAGAGAAAATATGCATTGCTCACACTATCTGAGCTCTTTTTCTGAAGTTCCGTTTCGATTTATATAAACAATTATTTTGTCCAAATCACAACTCCAGGATTAAGTTGACCATTTTAAGACTGCAAGTCAGAAAGAAAACTAACAATGCGGCAGACAAAAAAGCTATATACTTTATAATTACTAGAGGAACAAATAACGTGTGATCTTTACTGGTTAAAAGCCATTTACTCACCATGAGAGAGTGATGCTATCTTATCGGCCCAAAACAGAGCACTTTGATATTGTTGCTGAAAACAAGCACACAGGTAAAGATCATTCATTTCTTTATCAATCCGATGTGTACATCGCTTTTCATTTGAGTGAATGGGAAGCCCACTGAAGGTTTGTTAAGCTAGTAAAAAGCTAGCATCAATTAGCGCCACATAAATTAAAAAAACATACTTGGACTTCTCACCTGGTCAATGTACTGCCGCACTCGCTTTCTGAGCCTGTCAAGGTTCATGTTGATTCATACAAAAACTGGACGTTCTGAGTGTTAGAAGTGAAACATTCCCATAAACAGACAAAGCTGTGCATTACACAGTACGTGTTAGCTTGTTAGCTGCAAAACTCAAATCCGCGGCTTCTCCCTGCAACGCGTGTTCTGCGAAATCGTGTCGTAAGGAAACTTGACCAAGAACAAATAGTTCCGTTTCCGTTTTGAAAAACATTTTTAAAAAGTAGTAAAAATAAATAGTATTTTGTTTCCTGTGAGAACAATGTAAATGAAAGCAATGAAAAGAACCATTAAACTTTATCTTGTTATTCTTTTTTATGCAAAGTCTTAGGACAAATTAAAATGTTGGACTGAACTGCATTAAGAGCTAAAGAAAACTCTTTATACAGTAGGTTACAGGTGTAGTGAAGTGCATTGTCAACCTCTCCCCTCTTCTTTTCCTCAACTGTAAAGGGCAGGGTGCCCTTCACATCCCAGAGTTAACTTTTCCTCAAACATGTTTTCCAAAGCAAAAGTGGTATTTTTTAAATTGTTTTGCTGACGTTTCAACTATCATTGTAGCCTTTCTCAGAGCTTTGCCGATGTTGGTTGTGTCACTTCCTTCTCCATTTATCAGCAAAAACAAGATTAAAATGACCCTTTTGCTGTGTTAAAAAATAAGTGTAATGCAGTTGGATGAAACATGCTGAATGAACAAAATGACTTGTAACAGAAAGGCTTTGTTACAAAAGTCGACAGGGCCACATGACAATCTACCTTATAGTGTTTTCAAATTCTTTGTAGACTTATACATCAACCATTACAATCATCTTTATATTACCTACACGGCTGCTTTGAGAGCAGCCTCAGAAAATATATTTATAGGATTTTAGAGTTTATGCGGGATTCCACACAGAAACGTTTGCAGAAATTAAAAGCAAAAAGAGAAAATTACATTTAGATTAGTGCCTAATTAGAAGACAATAGTTTCCAAAGTTCAAAGGTGAAAATGAAATAGGAATATGATTTCATTTTCTTAGACCCCCATACCTTTCCTTTGCAGCATATGGTTCTCAGTAATCTGCAGACAATTTGTGCATTTTAACTATTTTAATTACAGTCATACAGTCAAAGTTTATGGCAGGCAGCTCTCACGCAATGAGCGTGAAGCACACAGATTTGACTTATCTTGTGCGATCTCACGCCACATACTAATTTTTCATGCTGAAAAAACAATCAATCAATCAATCAATCAATCAATCAATCAATCAATCAATCAATCAATCAATCAATCATCAATCAATCAATACTATATTAATCCCAGAGGGAAATTAGAGTTTCAGTACACACAATTCAGAGATCAGACATACATGGGCAAGACACATGACAAGAATTGGTGACTGTGGTCATTCGCAACCTGAGTCGCGCTACCTTAATAGAGATAAGAGGGTTACATGAGGATTGGTTCAGGTGGAGGGAAAAAAAGGCACTTCAGAGTTTCTCTCCAGCAGGAGGACAGCTTTGCTCTGCAAAGAAACATCTCAACAGATATGCAACAGACCTCAGACAACACAACATAAAATGAGACTCCAATAGAAAGGCGGGGGGGTGGGGGTGGGTGGGGGGGTGGGGGGTGGGGGGGTGGGGGCTGGGATCCTGTTTCTCCCAGCGAGAGCAGCCATCTATGGCGCTCATCCACTTTACAGTCACAGGTGGGAGATCTTGGGAGAATCAAAGAGTACATTGACTCCTACAGATTGATGACCTCGCCAGGCTGAAGTCCACCAATCTGAAAGGGGGGGGGGGGGGGGGTCCACAGCATCTGTCTGCATTCCTTCGTGGGGGTTTTAGTTGCTTGCAGCTCAAGGCTACCAGGGCGTCAGATTCAGATAACAAGACTTTGTTTGGGTCAGGTTGAGATAATTTTCCTCTCTGCTTTCAGTCTTTAAACTGATCATTCCAGTCCTTCAGTGAAGCCAATTTGGGGTTTTTTAACTTGTCCATACCGTCCGGTGACTCTCTTCGAGATGACATCCATTTTGTGCACTAATACCAGTATCACAGCTAGAACGTTGTCCAGCTTACGATTCACCTCGAGTAACGTCCCAGTCTGAGAAGTCTCCACATGGACGGTGCTTTCCGTGGGTGCGGGTCGCCCTCCAATCGCTCCCGTCTTCCCAAATTTCCAGAAAACCAGATATCCTCCCACTCCAATCAGGAGAAATCCAGTGATCATCAGGCCGAATATCCACACATCTTCGATATCCTCAATGGACAGCTGGGAGAGGCATATGATCTTCCACTCCTTACGGGAATCCAAAATATACCCCACCGGGTGTGTCCCCTGTGGACATGTGGGAGCCCCCTGCTCCGTTCTCATTGTTAAAAAAATCTTATCGATCGCATTGAATGACCAGTTTTTCAAATCCATGGTTAGTAAAAATAGTACAGCAAAGAAGTAGCCATATCTAAACACCAGCATCATGACAACATGCAGCAGCAAATCTCAGAAAACCACTTGGCCCCTGTGTGGAAAAGTTTCGGGAACATTGCAAACTACAAACCCAAAATCCCCACCTCCACTGGTAATCTGCTCTTGTCCAACAGCTTAAATAACTTCTATTGTTGGTTTGATGAGCCATCAAACAGGTCTCACACCTCTTCCAGTCCCAATAATGGAGATATTGGTGACCCATCCCCCACCCCAGAGCCATCACCATCATTTACCTTCAGCACCCTCCTCCTCACCCAGGAGGTCCTCACTTCACACACCTCCACCACAACCCTATGGGGCAGATGTGAAGAAGCAATTCAAAACTCTAAGTACACAGAAAGCCCCTGGACCTGATGGTGTATCTCCTGCCAATAACACTGTGCTGAAGTGTTTCCAGGCATTTTCAACTGCTTACCAAAGACAACTCATGTGCCTGCCTGCCTGCTTCAAGATCTCCATCATAGACCCAGTCCCCAATAAGTCAATGATCAGTGGACTCAATGACTACAGATTTGTGGCTCTGATGTCTGTGGTCATGAAGTCCTTTGAGCACATGGTTTTCCCCCACCTTAAGACCCCCACAGCCCCTCCTGGGCCGCCTGCAGTTTGCCTACAGAGCCAGCAGGGGTCTCATTTATCAAACATTGCGTAGAATCCTCACTAAAACCGTACTTAAGCTCAGCAAAAAAAAAAAAAAGAAAAAAAGTACTTACGCCAAGTAGGTTTGTGATCTATCAAACATGGAGTACGCACAGCTGCATGCAATCTCCGCTTCATAAATCGGAGACTAACGAGAATGTTTCTCAGCTGCATTTTAGTCACATCCTGCCTTCACCACGCCCACTTACTACCATAAATAGTCATTGCAAAGTGCCTTGTAGATCTCATGCATATACACAAGCCGGCTTGTTGTAGCGCTCTGCCAATGACAATGATGACCGTAGATCAAGGCAGATCAAGGAAGCGCAATTTCACAGAAGCAGAAATTGAGGTACTTGTGGGTGAGGTGGAGAAATGAAAGGAAGTGCTTTTGCAAAACAAATAAGAGAAAATCCACGGAGTGGCACAGCGTTGCTGAAGCCGTCAATGTTGTGAATTCTTCAGAAAGATCTGTGGCGGATATAAAAAAAATGGTCCAATCAGGATTCAAACCCCAGTCTCTCAGGTGAAAGTCACACACGCTAACCAGTCAGCCAAACAGAGATCTCCTCTGTACAAGTATCCAGGATGCATGATCAGTAGGGTCACAGTGACAGGACACACACTGTCACAGACGCATGACAATCTGTCTCAATCTGTCCCCCTGCTGATATTCTGCATTCTGCATTCCGTATTCTGTGCTTCAGGCTGTGTGTGTGTGTGTGTGCGTGCGCGCGTGTGTGAGTGTGCGCGCATGTGTGTGTACGCGTGTGTGTGTGTGTGGGGGGGGGGGGGGGTCTTGTTCAGTGTGAAAACGATGCAGGATATCATAATTGTATCCTTCTCAGCAGCAGCACTACAGGTGCTCTCCATGTCCAAAATGTGCGTAAGCCAGGCCCTTAGTCAACTTAAAGTTGCACACATTTTTCCGCTAAGTTTTCTTTCATAAATCCCAAAGTTTACATGGAAAGTTGCTTACGCAGTTTTCCAAACCCGTTTTGTGCGTAAAGCCGGGCGTACACTGTGCGACTTTTTCACTCGCAGCGTTCAGCTTCAGCTCAAACTGTACGACTTCCTCGCAGAGCAGATCTCACGAGTCGTGTGCTCACACTGTACGACCCAGTTCTCGCATGCGACCTGACTGCTCACACTGTACGTCTGGTAGCAACACGTCGGCCCTAAAAATGTGCTAAAAATAGCAGTTTTTACTCAACACGTCAGACTTTTTTGTCTTGCCCGTTGTCCTTCGGGAGTGCTGCAGGAGGACACACAGGGATTTATGGGGGTTGGATGAGGAAAACAAAATAAAGAAAGTGAATCTGTGTTTTGTGATCAGTTTAATTTGACATGAACACGACAAACACGCTTTCTTGACAATCTTTGTGAGTAAAAAAAAACGTGTAGAAACAAAAACGAACAGCGTGTGTTATTAGGGAAATAGCGAGCGACCGGCGTTGATGCATGATTGCGCATGCGCCGTGAGCGGTTCTGACACTTTTTTTGGGATCGTAGCTGCTCGCAGCTGCTCGCAGCGCCGCTTCAACAGTGCGATACCCTCACGAGGGACGAGCGAAATATTAAACACACTAGAAGTCCCTGCGACCTCACGACTGCTGATCGGCGGCTGGTCACGTGGTGTTAATCACCTCTCGTAACCCCCTGTACACTACACGACCGCTCGGCGCAAAACTCGCCCCGATGTCGTGGCTTCTCGCACGACCGGAAAATCGTCTCAAAAAAGTGAAAAAGTCGCACAGTGTACGCCCGGCTTAAGCAAGCTTGATAAATGAGGCCCCTGGTCTGTAGAAGATGCCATCAACATGGTTCTTTCTTTCATCCTGCAGCATCTGGACTCCCTGGGTACCAATGCTAGGATCCTGTTTGTGAACTTTAACTCTGGCTTCAACACAATCCTTACAGACCTCCTCCAAGACAATATATCCCAGATGAACGTGCCTGACCCCATCTGCAGGTGAATCACCGACTTCCTGACAAGCAGGAAGCAGCAAATGAGGCTGGGGACAAATGTCTCTGACCTGCAGACCATCAGCACTGGC